GGTCGGAGACCATCCCGAATCACACCCGAGGTCCCCGGATCCCATCTAGTGACACCAACCTGTCCCAAAACATAAAACCGACCTGCTCGAGGCCTCGAATCAAATCAAACAATGTCGAAATCGCGAATCACACCCCAATTCGAGCTTAATGAACTTCAGAACTTCAAGCTCCTACATTCGATGCCGAAACCTATCAAATCACGTCCGATTGACCTCAAATTTTGCATACAAGTCACATTTGACATTACGTACCTACTCCAACTTCTGGAATCGGAATCCGACCCCGATATCAAAAAAGTCCACTCCGGTCAAACTTCTCAAAAACCTTCAAATTTTTAGCTTTCGCCAAATGACCCCGAAATGACCTACGGACCTCCGAATCCACTTTCGGATGCGCTCCCAATATCAGAATCACCATGCGGAGCTATTCCCAGACCCGGAATCCCAAACGGACATCGATGATATTGAAATGCACTTCAACCCAAATTTATGAAATTCTTACAATATGCCAACTCCGCCGAAACGCTTCCGGATCATCCAAAACCCGATCCGAACATACAGCCAAGTCCAAAATCATCATACCAACCTGTTGGAACCCTCAAATCCCGATTCCGAGGCCGGTTACTCAAAAATCCAACCTTAGTCAATTCTTCCCACTTAAAGCTTTCGAAATGAGAATTTTCTTTCCAAATCAACTCCGAACTTTCCGAAATTCAATTCCGACCACGCAAACAAGTCATAATACCTTAAGTGAAGCTGTTCATGAACTCAAACCGCCGAATGACGCGCTAGAGCTCAAACGACCGATCGGGTCGTTACGTTATATACCGTATGTTTTTAGAGACATTTCGGAGAAATAAATCATGAACTCACACATGTATTTGATTATTAGCTTTTTTTTTTTAAAAAAAAACTAGTTTCTTTTGTACACAACACATAGTATCAGATGGTTTTGTATGTAGAAGACTAATGGAAATTGAAGAAGACTATAAACATGGTCAAAGTGTGTGTATTTATTTATTTGTTTGTAGAGTACGTGTGGCTATTAAGTACCTTTCATTTTTCCTGCAGAAGATTCAACCCATGAAGATCTTTTGCGGGCTCTCATTCACGTACATATTTTTTTTAATTATTATTTAGTTTTTATTTCACTTAATGGAAAAATATTTTCAAGTTAGTCATAGTCGTTCAAAATTGATGATGTATTGATATTTACTCCATCGCATAAAATTATATTTTTAACTTAGTCAAACTCGCTAATAATTAAAGAGACTGCAGATGATATTATTCTAACTTCTCAAATTACTAGCAATACTTGCCAAACAATGATCAATACTATTAATCGTTTCACACATCAATCAGGCCAGACTATTAACTTTGACAAATCAAAAATATTTTTCTCGACCAATTGCCAAACCAATACTAGGAATCTAATTTTGCAACTTTTCCATATGAAAGAAGGTCGTAATTTTGGAAAGTATTTGGGTTTCCCAATTTTTACTTCTAGACCTACTAAATCAGACTATCAATCCTTGGTTGATAATCTTAAAATGAAATTGGCAGGTTGGAAAATAAATTTTCTTTCAAGAGCGGGTAGACTTACTTTAATAAAGTCAACTCTTAATCAACTTCCAAACCATTTGATGCAATTCATAAAAATACCTGCTTATATCTTAATTCTGCTTAATAGATACCAAAGGAATTTCTTGTGGGGCACAACTAACCATAAGAAAAAATTACATCTGTTAAAGTGGTCAACAGTCACACAACCTTTGGAACTTGGGGGCCTAGGTATACAAAGTCTGGCTTTAAAAAATAAGTCACTGCATGCCTGTCTGGCATGGTGAATGTTTCATCATCCCCATGAGTTATGGGCACAAGTCTTAATGACCAAATATGCTAGGTATAAATCTATTAATGCATACCAAAGTTCCCCCATTTGGCGCAATATTATTAATGGCTGGAAATTGTGTCGTCTTGGCTATAAATGGAATATTGTAACGGAAAATAATATCAAATTTTGTACGAACCCTTGGATCCGTCATAACTTTACACTTAGAGAACATATTCATGGCCCAATGCCTCAATTTGAGATTACCAAATCAATTTTCAACTATTACTTTGATAATAGATGGCACATGGACATTATCTCTTTTGAGTTGCCTTCACAAATACTTAATCTTATTAAGAATATTTACCTGCCTACCCAACCTAACACTTATGATAAATTATACTGGAATCTAACTGAGAATGGGATGTTCTCAGTTAAATCGATGTACAACTGCTTGACAATTACGAATCCGTCTGGTACTATAAGCCAATCTCCCTCCTTTAACTGGATTTGGCGGCTCCCCATTCCACACAAAATTGCTTTTTTCATTTGGGTAGTTTGCCATAATAGACTACCAACAAATGAGTATCTCACACGAATTGGGATTACCACCTCAGCAATTTGCCAACAATGTCACAAGGAGAGTGAAACAATCCCTCATTTATTCCAACGTTGTGCTAACACAATAAATTTATGGGAACATCTTAAAATAGCACCCCCATCCTTCATAGCTTCTCCTTCGCTGACTGACATTATTACTTCGATATACACTTTTCTCCACACACCTCTATTTTCTATTCCTTACAATATTCCTCCAACCATCATACTTCCTTTTGCTCTATGGGAAATCTGGACAAAAAGAAATAAGTTTGTCTTTGAAAATAAGTTTAATGACTTACATGGGGCTGCTCTAATAGCAAAAGCAGCCGAATACTACTTCCTAACTAACCACTCTAATAAAAAGTTATTAAAGACTCCTATATATATCAAGTGGCATCCACCTGACCCTATGTATTATAAATTAAATGTTGATGGATCTTGCTGTCACACTCAATGTAATTATGGGATTGGAGGAGTCATACGCGACCATCAAAGCAATTGGGTCATAGAATTTGCAGGAGGTGTCCAACAAGGCAGCCCTACCCAAATAGAATTGCTAGCCCTCCTCAAAGGCTTATAGATTGCTGCAAAACAAAATCTACTGCCACTCATTATTGAGACAGATGCACAAACTGTGCTTGGTATGTTAAACTCACCTGCCTTAAACTGTATTAACATTGTTACTGACTGCAGGTCATTACTCCAACAGCTGGATAGAGCATCTGTTCAAGTTATTTATAGAGAGCAGAACGGTGTAGCAGACACACTCGCTAAATATGGTGCAATGCATGTCCAGGAGCAATGCCTACTTTTTGAATCACCACCACTTTTTGCACAGTCTTATTACCATCAAGATCATCAGGGCATACTCCATCTCCGGAAGACTCGGCAGTCTAGTAGTTCTAGTTATGTAAATTCTACTGTATGTACTAAACAACCTACTTTAGTAGCTTCTGCTCTCATATCTAGTTTTGCTACCCAAGTAGGGGGAAATCTATCATCTAAGGATCCTCTTGTACAAATGATGCCTTGTAGGCATCCACCACTCTAACCTTATGTAAGTTTGTTATGTTATAATATTGCCTATCTTTCTTACTAAAAAAAAAAAAAAAAAGAGACGTTGATTTTTGTTCTGTAGTAAAAGAGGTGCAATTTTATTTATGAATTAACCTCCAAATCAAATTGTATCATCGTATGCTGATTTCACAATTTTTGAGTTATTATCTGTTATTTTAGTTAGAGATAGAATTCTTATTTCACGTTGTTCATTTTTCTAAATTGCTTTGTTTAATGAACGGAAGAAATCTACTCGCGGATCATGTGGTACCCTTTAACAATAATTTTTACATTTGACAAACTTGTAATATATTTTTTCTAATATTTAAAATTAAATAATTATTATGAAATCTTTCATTATTTGAACCATATAAAGCCCTAATATTTGGAACTTTAAAATCAATTAAAATTTATCTTACATAAATTATTGTCTTATTAGAATGATTTAATAAAAAAATAATACATTCTATATTAGTTTTTAATTTTTGAACCAATTAGAAATATTTAGGAAATTTTTTAAATTCTAAATTTTGTCTGTTTCTTTTATGTACGTAAATATTTAGTAAGAAAAGATAATAATTTCAAGTTTTTGTTTGTTTCTTTCTTTCTTATATTTTAGAATGAACAATCATTTTTGAACAACTAAATTATATAATAATTTTTATGTATAGTGAGGAATCAATAATTACTAATATATTTAAGAGTAATATTTATTGTATAAGATAACTAATTGTATCTAAAAGTACTACGATTACCTAATAAATTTAAAAATTATAAAAATGAAAAAAAATATATTTTTTTTAATGTAAATTGAGTAATGATTTAACAGATTACATACGCATTATGGTCTATATCTTTCTATTTATTGTAAAAGTGGATGATCCAAAGTAAAACATTAAATAGAACAAAATGCGTCACACATAAAATTGAGTAACATTTCTGCCTTTTAATCAAATACACGTTCTAAATATTTATCCACAATATTTTAATATTATCAGATATAAACTTTCTCGTGACCATCATCGTTAAACATCAAATTATCGAAGCACCGATGAAGGATATTTCACAATTGCATGTCAAGTTCAATAAATATAAATTTAGAGAATCTGAATAGATTGTATTATAACATTATCATAAACTTTTTTATGTCAAGTATATCTTACTAATTAATCGCTCAAGAAAGAAGACACAAATAACTTCAGTAATTGGAAGCAAAGCATGGAATCCCAATAAGGCATATGAGGTAGGTAGAAAAAGATCTATTCATTCATTAAGATAACTTAAACTGGTCAACATTCATCATTTTCAGAAATTTTTATTTTTTTATGTCTATTAAATTAAATCTAATATATTCTTTAATGGAGTAATTTTTATGTAATTTTTATAGTTGTGTATTCAACGTAAAAGGTAAAACCAACAACTTATTTTCTTATATACTTTTTTGTTAATTGACGCGCTACGCACCGGCAACGCATTCGTACACCAAAGCTAGTTATAAATAAAAGTACGCAGATGGCTCAAAAACCTGTCTCTTTGTCAGCGACAATTCTAACAAAAATAATGTATCATGAGCGTTTCCTAGCCAGCCATACATTAACTTCATAAAATCCTAAAATTCTTGGTCCGACATTCTCCAGCAAAAAGATGATTCTCTTTTTCACCGCTTAAGAAGACTTCTTCTATTTTCTATTTACTTAAAAACAAAAAATAAAAAAATAAAAGAAAAGAAAAGAAAAGGAGAAAAGGGTGGCATCAAAATGGCTTCAGCTCAAGCTTTCAACTTCATTTGGCAACGTAAAGTTCGACATTGGCATTGGAGTTGAAGTAGAACTACCTTGATAATCTCTTTGGCTAGTGGTTCGGCGAGATAATCTACCAGCATTCTCGAGTCCACTTTTGATCCAAGCAATATTGTTTAAATCTGTGGCTATGGCAGTTAACTCATGGCTAGAGACAGCGGGAAGCTCCTCATATTCAACAAACTCGGGCCCCAATAATGAACTAGCAGAGAAACTCATGCTGGTAGCTGAACAACAACCATGGCCGCATCTCAAAGGTATTAAGGGATCATCAGATACACCTTCAAGAAGTTTACAGATGCCGAAGGGAGGTGAGGAGACCTGGAGTAGAGGCCCCTGCACGGGCACTGTTCTTGATGATGCAAAGGCAGCAGAAGAAAGGTTTAACACATCAAAGGCACCAATTTTTGCAATTGGGCGAGAAACAGATGGATTCTTTTCCATAATAGTGGAATTACATCTTCCAGAAACAAGATGTGGAATTTTTTCAGGAGAAGCAGACATTTCATTCGTAGATCTGTTTTCAAACTGGCTGGGTTCGCATTGCATGAGGACTACTTCCCCTGCCTCTTGGGCTTTAGATTGATTATGATCTTCAAATGGCTTGGTTTCTTCAGATGACACCTCAACTCTGTCAATGCTGCTATTATCTAACCTCTCACAATGTACTGGTTTAACCTTTCTAAGCCCAGCAAACCGGCGCCTCAATGTAGAGTTCCAGTGGTTCTTAATTGCATTGTCTGTTCTACCAGGGAGCAATTTTGCAATTGAGGCCCATCTATTTCCATGCACAGCATGGGCACTAATTATAATGTTGTCTTCTTCCTCTGCAGCATATTAAGGTTTATCAGATTTGGGGAAGAAAATGGTCATACAGAGAGAAGCACATGGAGAAGATCTCAATGGAATAGAGAAACTAATAAGAACTAATACCTAAAGAAACATTAGGACATCAATATCTTAATCTGCCAAAAGGATACAGAAGAAAGAATAGTCTTCTATACATGGCCCACCACCTTTAAGGATATGTACTTGCCTAGGCGGGACAAAAAATTGTGATGCACAGCAGAAGAAGACACATCAGCAGATCTTAATGAGAAGTTTATGAATTCTAAATTCTTCTGGCATTATGAGGTGATCATCTTTTACTTCCCAAACAAAAGAGAGAGCGGGAAAAATAAAAAAGCAGAAGCTGCAAATGTGAAATATCCAAAAACAGCTCTAGTTAAAAGGTTATCCATCAAGACTCGAAGGCCGTGATGAGGGAAATACAAGAAATGCCTCAAAGCACAAATAAGAGAATCCATTCACTGCCATGATGAGGGTAATTTAATATAGTTATTTATTACAACATTGCTCAAATATCAAGCTAAGTTGTCAACTTAGCGGGGTTTTCGCCCCTCGACACGAGACATTTACATGTAAAAAAAAATGATCTTTAAGACTTGATAAACTTGGGGAAGATAATTTCACTTTTTTGACAAATCAGGAAAAGTCTAGAGCTTGCAGTAACGTATTCCTAGCTCCAAAATCCAGGTAGGAAGAGAAGTACAATTCTCTACTTGTTTGGCTGAGTAAACTTGGAACGAACAGAAAATCCTTCCTATTTGAGCTAAGATAGTGCTTAACAAAATCTGTATTTTATAAGTTGCTTCTCTTGCAAATTTGACCATGAATTAAATGTTTACTTCAGAGTTCAGTCAAGAGGTCTATCCAATCAATGAAATGGTTTCTTAATCCTAGATTGTCCTACAGCAAACCTAATAGCTGGTGCTATTTTGACAGTCAACACACCAATAGGATATCTTTTAGACATATGAGGTGCGTCTCCTCACAGTTTTGTCAAATCAATATATTATCAAGCTTGTTATGTACTACAGGAGACATACTAGGTCCATATGCTTGATATTCCAATTTCCCATTCCATTAGGCGCTGCAAGCAGATAAACCAAAGAGAACATCTTTGACAACAACTGCAAATTCAAAATGCAAATTACAAGAGCAGCTCTATTGTATATAAAATAAAAAAAAATTAACACTGCTCTACCATGATCTCCTCTCTTTTCTTTTCTTCTACACTCTCCATCTTCCTCTTTCTTTCTTTAGTCCAAAAGATCTGTAAAGATTTCCTTCATACCTCGATCAGGAAAGGTAAACTCAGGAATCAAGCATCACATTCTGACTTGCTACTTTTTGACCAAGCATTCAAACAAATTTTCTCCAACTCTGACTCAAATCAAAAGAGATTTCACCTCAAATTAGAATCACATAACTATATCAATTTAAGATCTTTCCACAACTCAAAGGAAGGTATTTCTTTCTCTCAAGTATACTGGAGCTTCTTGTGAAACTAAGTGCTAAATAGTGAAAGCTCATCAACTAGATCAAGGATACCTCGTATCGAGCAGACACTACAATAGTGATACAAAATACAGGTTAACGTCAGTTGGTCTATTTGTAATGCCATTGAACTATTCTAAAGGTAAAGCATTGACAATCAAACTCAACCAGAGATTTGAACAGCAAGCAAATGTAATCATTCTCTCATAGCACAGACTGGTTATATGTTAGGTAAACATAGTCATTCTTTGATGCAGGGGATGGTTAATATGTTAAGCAAGGATGGCCATTCTGCCAAACAACAAACTAGATAGGTACAGAGCATTGTTTAGCGCACTGCCAGGGGCAATTTGTCTTGTAAATGCTGCACGTGCACTTAGTTTGAGACTAAGGATGTAACACTTGTGACTGTTAGTGTGTCATATATAACTGACCACAAATATCAGCAAGTGTAATTTTATTAACAACCCAAAGGCTCCAACTCTGACTCAAACCCGACGAGATTTCACCTCAAATTAGAATCACAAAACTAAATCAATTTAAGATCTTTCCACAACTCAAAGGAAGAAATTATTTCCTCTCAAGTATACTGGAACTTCTTGTGAAACTAAATGCTAAATAGTGAAAGCTCATCAATTAGATTAAAGATGCCTCGTATCGAGCAGACACTACAACTGTGATACAAAATACAGATTAATGTCAGTTGGTCTATTAGAAATGACATTGAACCATTCTAAAGGTAAGCTTTGACAATCAAACTCAACCAGAGATTTGAACAGCAAGCAAATGTAGTCACTCTTTCATAGCACATACTGGTTTATATGTTAGGCAAACATACTCATTCTAGGCAAACATAGCGGCTGGTTAATATGTTAAGCAAGCATGGCCATTCTGCCAAACAACAAACTAGATAGGTACAGAGTATTGTTTGGCGCACTGCCAGGGGCAATTTGTCTTGTAAAGCTGCACATGCACTTAGTTTGAGACTAAGGATGTAACACTTGTGACGGTCAGTGTGTCATATATAACTGACCACAAATATCAGCAAGTGTAATTTTATTAACAACCCAAATGCTCCAACGCCCCACCTTCCCCCCCCCCCCCCCCCACCCCAAACCCAAATACACCACATAGTTTTGTTCTTTTTTAGTTTTTTGGTGAACAATAAAACAATAAGATTTTGCTTCATTCTCCGTGGCCAAAAAGAGCAACTAAACACTTAAACTACTTCAAGATTTTAGAAATCTTAATATCTTAACCTGTCATCTTATGTCTGATTTTGTCTGCATTGACTTCCATTAGCCTAGATTACTCAATGGGACTTTTTTTCTTTTGAAATTAATGAGGTATGTTAATCAATTCCCAGCTTTTCTCAATCCTCCCAGTTTATAAGGAGGTTTCTTACTCAAGAGCAGTAAATTTAATAAGAAAATGAAGATGAATAAACCCAGTAAAACAGCAACGGAAACATGGCAACTAGCCACAGATAGAGCATTCATGACTTGGTCCCCTTTTGCACCCCCAGAAGATTTTCTATTTGCCAACTGCAATAAATCCATCTACATTAGCCTTGCAAATGCCCCTTGATATGTTAGAAAAACCAACATTTAGTACACATTACCATGAGTTATTGCAGATAAAGGTACAGCAAATCAACTCAAGTTAATAGTTTAACATTTCATGTATGGAACACATTTATCTAATAATCAGCGACTTGCTTCAACGATACTATATTCAAGAGACATTGCCCAAAGAGATTCCCAGACGACAAGGAACTGAAGATGAGTCAAAACAAATATTCAGAAACATACAAAGAAATAACTGAAACCACTGACCAAAATCAACATTAGGAAGGTTATTTCCGCCTTAAACCCCGTTCCCACAAACCCTACTAAAACTGTAAAAAACATACCGAACTAAAACCTATATAAACTAATGAAAAACTGTAAAATATTAAACGTAAATGAGACATAATCACCAAAAGGGTTCCAGATAAAAGAGAAACAGATAATTCAATATTTAAGCTAAAATTACCGATTTCATTAAGTGTTTAACACATTGTAAAAGGAGAGGAGCATCCGAAAGCGCAACGCTTTACCAGTAAAAGGCTTGCGCTTAACAGCAGGGTCGAGCTGATTACACCAGCGAAGTCGGCACGACTTTCCAGAACGCCCTGGAATTCCTCGGGCGATCAAGCTCCAGTTCCTTGCCCCGAATTTGCTAACCAGTTCACTCAATACCGCGTCTTCCTCCTGCGACCATGGTCCCTTCACTTTTCCTCCACCACCACCGCCGCTGTTCCCGTCTTCACTGCCATCTGGCAACATCGCTTCACTATCATCTAAGGCCTTGAAAGCGACGGCCGATGGTTCGCCGTCATTGACGGCGGCGTCACGCAGTTTAAAATTGCTCTGCTCCGCCTCCTCCTCCATCGCTCTCGTTTCAGTGTTTTTCTCTCTCTAGTCTTTTCGGTTTGTTAAAAGTGATCTGTTTCTCTCTCTAACTATAGATATAGATATATATATATATAAGGGAAGCGCGCTTTGTGTATAGCTGTATTTGAAACCGAACCACCTGCCCCAACTGCAAAATATTACGCTGTTTCTTGCGCTCTTCATCGACAGTTTCGTAAGGCGGTTTACTCAAATGACTAGTTTGCCCTCTTTCTCATGTATAGACTTCGACGTTGTTCTCGTATTGGGATTGTTTCAGAGGTAAAAGCGTAATTTCATAGAGGTGTGCCTTTTGTCTCCCGGTGTAACCACCACCTTAGTGTTTTAAATTCTTGGACTTTATTTTGAAAAATGGGAAGAAAGCTTTCGGTTCCACCCCTCTATTTTCCCAATAATTGATATCTAACCCTTTCAAGCCCTAAAGTAAAGTTCCAATATTTCATTTTTTTTTCTTTTTTCCTTCAAGTTTTTTTCTCCTTTCAATTTTTATTTGTTTTTATATTTCATGTTTTTTTTGGTGAAAAAGATAAATATATTATAGATGCTTAAACACTTACATAAGAGTTTGTAGAATGCATAAGATGCATCAGTTGCAGAGGACTAGAAGTAGATACTATGTCCCCCTTATGGGAACGATGATCATACACACGAGTTGGATTACCTAGCGAAAAACAGTACATGGAGCTTGGTGCTCAATTGGCACCTCATTACAAAATGAGTATTTAAAGAGTAATCTACGCGGTATGCCCATTGAAAACATCAGTTAACATCATATACAATTAAAATATTTATTTTACTCTGTATGCCTACTTTATAAAATTATCTTACCATGTATACCTACTGTATTCTAAAATATAATACTGTATATTCTAAATTAAAATATTATGATATATTTAATTTGGATATTGTATTCCAAATTAGAATACTGTAGCATGTTTTGTTTGAATATTGTATTCCAAATTATAATTATTGTATATTTGCATTGATATTGTATTCCAAATTAAAATGTTGTAGTATATTTGGTTTGGATACTGTATTCCAAATTAGAATATTGTAGTATATTTTGTTAGAATATTTTTAAATTGGATATTGTATCCCAAATTAGAATACTGTAGCATGTTTAGTTTGAATATTTGGATATTGTATTCTTCATTAGAATTTTAGAGTAAGCTATGTTTGGATTTTTCAGACTAGAATATTGTGATATCTTTAGTTTGAATAATATATTCCAAATTAAAACATTATGGTCTGTTTAATTAGAATATTATATTCCTAATTAGAATATATGGTAAGTGAGGTTTGGATTGTATTCCAAAGTAGAATATCGTGATATGTTTTAGAAAATATGGAGGTATGCCGTGTAACATTTTTGGGATATTTGATGTAATTTCAAAACTTAGGTATATCATGAAAGTGAGTTTTATAAACGGGTATATCACGTAACTTCCCCAAATTTAAACTAGCGACTGTTTCTTTAAATGCAGTATCTACTGCAGAAAACGCATACAAAATTTCACGCCCCAAACAAGAAGAGGCATGGCCGGCACCCGGTGTCATACTTGGCCCGAGCTTACCACACTATAACTATGAATTCTGGAGGGGTAACCCTCAACTTAGGCTGATGAGGCCATATTCTGAATCGTCTAAACATAATGTTTCTCTCATCTGTGGGGTAAACATGTCCAAAAGTAGTTGATATATTATAACTTGTGCAGGCCGATGAATCCGTCATGAACATCTACTGATATACAAAATATACAGGACTCGTCTACAAGCCACTAGAGATGACTGTATCACATGGTCGGGACAGGGCCTCGACCTACCCATCAAACATGTATAAAAGATGGACTCCAAGGTCTAGACCTGGTAAATCTGAAGGAGTGGAGCTTACCAACCAAGCTGATTTTTGACTCTATCTACTGGGAATGTATATCAGATGTCTATCAGAACCTGCAGGCAAGAAATGCAGCGTCCCCAGCAAAAGCGACGTTAGTACGAAATAATATACCGAGTATGTTAAGGAAACATAATAACTGAAAGCTGAAAACTGAACTGATAGTAAATAATAACTGAAAGTAACTGGGAGTTAAAGATAATCTAAAATATTCCTTACCGTGCTGATACTCTGACTCAACTCTCTCAATTATAGTAAATAAAATAGTTGTCCAACCTTATAAGGCTCGGTGTGTGTGACTGCTCTGTCGTAGTAGGCTCGCTCATAGGTGCTCGGCCAATACTAGGCTTTGTATCTCGGCCATTCTAGGGTCGCTCATAGGCGTTCGACTACAGTAGGGCGCGGTATATAACTTACCATCTAATCAGAGATTGCCTAGTAGGGGGCGCGCACCATCCGAATATAGCCGATGGTGGTGTAAATACTATAATTGTTACACCCCATGTTTTGTACGTGGAAGTACGCCACAAGTAAATTGATATAAGATCAGAAATGAGATGTTACGTCCCGCATTTTCGTACGTTGAAGTTTCATCAGTAAGTTAATCGACGTAAGTTCGGAATGAGAATTATTTTGGGATTATAAGTATCAGCTATTTCAAAAAAGAAAGATAAATAAATTCAATGAGGTGACAGGGTAAGCAAATCGAAAAAAATGAGTTTCATCGAAGTTTGGCATTTTGGGATAAAATACGGCCCTGAGCTAAAATATTCGGTATTTATGGACTAGTACCATACAAGGTACCCGCATGGCCATGATAGTAGGTGTATAAAGTATATTAAAAGTGAGTAACATTTTATGTAATTTGAGATAATCTTAATTATGTGGGTAATAGGTTAATTAATTGGTTAATGAAGAATTAACCATTTAATTAAGAAATGTTTGGATAAGACCAACCCTCCTAGTGGCAGCACCCCCCAATCTCCATGTATGACTCTAAGTTAATTATATATGTGGCAAGATTTGAGAATTTGACAAGTCTTCTAACGTGAAATATATACCAATATAGGAGAAAAAGGGACCAATTATGTCTTAAAGACATGAATCACATCTCCATTTTGATAGATGAGATTCAGAAATTCAAATTTAACTTCAGTAAGATAATGTTACAAATGTAACCTGAGTTCTTCACCAAAAATTCATACGAAAACTATTTATCATAATAGCAACGGGATGTTGTGATTCTAAGGGAGTATGGTCCAATCTTCTCAAGAATTATCATACGGATTCTCTCCTACTTCGATCCGCCATTATTTTTTTGTTGCAATTGACGTATGTTAGAGGGATTGCCAAGAGAATGGGCTCAGGTATGTTAAGGCTATCCCTTCTTTCTTTTGGCAATGATCTATATGACACAAACGAAATGAGCAAATGCACAATTTTCATAAATGGCTTCTATTCATAGAAATACTAGTGATTCGTATGTTCTTGATCCCCATGTGTCATATTATTCTATCATCTGTTCATAGGTCTCCAAAAAATACGTAAGTTGAAAAAGTTTACTCATGATATTAATCAGAGGCAATATGGTCTTATGACACTTCGGAGAGATTTTATTGACGTACTTCTCATGCATTGCATCATTTACATTGACCTTCATGACCAGATGGCGTTATATACGCGTATATGTGTATGTATATATATGTATGTGGGATATGGGAAAAGGTTACGGTGTTTATATACGCACCACCACCTGATCAGCTGGTAACACGTTGATGATTTGCCCACAGTGGCCGAGATGATATGATGGGACGCCCTCAAAGGCTTGATGATGTTATGAACGCATTTCCCATGCATGGTATGACATTTATACGCATATGCATGACATTATAATATTAATGATTCACAGAGCTATTCAGGTAATATGTTGAGTCTTTTACTCCATGTTTCTCTCATGTCTATTGTTTACTGATTTTATTCCTTACATACTCGGTACATTATTTGTATGACGTCCCTTTTGCTTGGGCACGCTGCGTTTCATGCCCGCAGGCCCGGAAGATAGGTCAAGAGTCCTCCAAGTAGGCGATCAGCTTTAGCGGAAAGATGTTGGTGCACTCCATTTGCTCCGGAGTTGCTTGTTTGGTCAGTATGATTGAGATGTGTATTGTTTGGTAGGGCGGGGCTCTGTCCCGACCTTTATGACAATTATGTATTCTTAGAGGCTTGTAGACAAATATCATGTACATAAAAGAATTGTAATGGCCTTATACGGTCTATGTTCAGTGTACGAGTGGTTATTTTGGTCTTGAGGCCCATAGTTCTTATGTATAAGTTGGTATTACATGTTAGATTCTACCTATTTCACGGCAGCCTCTTCGGCTCAATTATCTATGAATCGTATGTAAAAAAGATACGTTGTGTTGTAATCAGTTGAAATAAGGGTACCGGGTGCCCGTCGCGGCCCATCGGTTTGGGTCGTGAACAGTGGTATCAAGAGTAGTTCTTTCCTAGGGATGTCTACAGGCCATACCTAGTAAAGTCTTATTTATGGGTGTGTCGTGCACCACACTTATAAGCATGAGGCTACAGGGCATTTAGGACTGTCACTCTTTCTTGTTACTCTAGATCGTGTGGTAGAGCTCACTTGTAAGAACTCAATTTCCTAACCTCCATCTTATTCATAATACGACGATGCCTACATCCGGAAAGACGGTTGGTGAGATATAGTTGTGGAAGAGTTTGAATCAGAGGAACTCGATTTTTTATGATGCTTATGATAAGTAAATGTAAGGTCTTTAGTAGATCATGTGTGTACTAAAACGTATAAGCCTCTTGATAAGGAACCCTTAGGAAAGAAATATCTATCCCCTTTATGGGGAAAGACATGAGAGATTCATAAGATAATACAAGTTTCAACAGCAAAAGAAGCAAGATGAAGAAGGGTACGAGGCGCCTAGTTTAATGAAGGTTAACAGTATTTACAACTCAGGCAGATTGAAATATAAGCCTTTTGAGTCCTTCAACAGTAAAAGAGGTATGTACAATTGGTCACACCCATTGCATCTTATGTCTATGGGGCCTAACAGTTGTAGTTAAAAGAAGGACGGGATATCAAGATCCGGCTGGGGTTAGGGTAACCCAAATTGGTGAATGGCATTTGCTTGCATTAGTTGACATTTTCGAAGGAATATTGCAAAAGTGCTAATAAATTCCTTGTGAGACATCCAG